TGTCACAAAGTCCATCAACAACAAGATCATTAGGGGAGTGTGTGAAAGTGTTTTGTCCATTTTTCACAACAAAAACGTGGCTGCCGTGCATGAATGAAGAACGCAGAATATATGTACAAATGCCTGTCATGCATTGCTGAAGAACACATAGAATCGTTCACAAATGCCTGCCATGCATGAATGAAGAACGCAGAATGCAGAATATATGTACAAATGCCTGTCATGCAATGCTGAAGAACACATAGAATCGTTCACAAATGCCTGCCATGCATGAATGAAGAACGCAGAATATCATGTACAAATGGCTGTCATGCATTGCTGAAGAACACAAATGGCTGCCATGCATGAATGAAGAACGCATAATATCATGTACAAATGGCTGTCATGCATTGCTGAAGAACACATAGAATCGTTCACAAATGGCTGCCATGCAAAGGAGAGGTTATAGAAAGCCTTGGATTAATTTGTAACCGTCACGCAGTAGAGGTCAAAAACACTCAATTAAGATTCTTTGTAACTCCCGCCTTTGAGTGCAGTTTGTGTTTTGTTCGTAAGTCTGTAATGAGCTTTGTCCGTTACACATCTAGAGCTCATTGAGAGAGAGAGAGAGAGAGAGAGAGAGAGATCCTCGTTTTTATTATTATTTTTTTTGGCGACGGGAAGAAAAGGAAAAGCAACCCAACTCCACAGTAAATCAGCCATTCTGCCTGCAGCATGTTCTTCTTTCTTATTATTTTGGTTGGGAATCAGCATGCTAAGGACTTGCAAATATTTTACGGCTTTTATATATGCATATTAATTTTTTTCATTTAAATTGCTATGAATATATATATATCTGGGAGAATACATCTCGTACGGAAAGGTAAGCATTCAAATTTGTAACACTTATTTTATTCATGAATATTACATTTGTGATGCCAAGAGACACTTTTATAAAGGTCTCCAATGTAATACAACATAACCATTTCTATGGATATAGTTACTCTCCCACGCCAACACCCATTTCTATGGCAGAGCCTTAAGCTAAGGTCGAAGCCTTAACTCATCCTTTATTAGCTGGGTTTGGTTTGATTCAAATCATCCCTTCACCTGTTCAAACAAGAAAGATTACAGAAAAATTAACCATAAGAAAAGAAAAACGTAAAACTAATTAAACAAGAGGAAAATATATAAAAAGAGATATTATGTGTATATCTTGTGTCGTACCCATGCTTTTAAGGAAGAAGTAGACCTCCAATCAAAGTTTCAAAGTCTGCTGCCTCTCCATGCTATCTATTTTCCTGAGAAAATAGACACAAAGAGATGAACAGAACAGACCGTCAACTGATGATGGTGGAGCTTCTAAGCTGCTGCAGCGAGGAATGGAGGGCATGGTCTCTATTTATAGCGGCTGTAAAGAGAAATGGAACTCGGCATGGCAGATACGTGGCAATCATGCAGAGGCTGTGGCAGTTTTAGAAGCTTGTAGCAGAGAAACAAGCACAACGGCCTTTTTTTAAATAAAAAAACTTTTATTGAAAATGGAAAGGAATTAGAAGAAACTTGGAAGAGGTGGTGGAAGAAGGGACGAAAAAGCAAGTGGGTGCAACTGGTTTTCACGTTTAATTTGCAAGGGTTGTATATTTGATTCTGTATCCACAGTGTTGCTTCTATAAAAATAAATAAAAATAATTAGGTGTAAAAATTAATAATACAATAATCATTTAGGACTTGGCTAAATACTATAAATCTCATAGGCTTGTATTGTAGCTCAAGTAGGTAAGAGTAGGCACTTCCTATTATAATAAAAAATAGGCTTAATTGCTACAGTGCACCTTGAAACATTGGTCAATTCTCACTTTATCCGCTGAAAGTTAAAGTGACTCACTTTGCCCCCTTGATCAAGGTTTGATGTTCCACTTTACCCTCTACCGTCAATTCCGTCCAAAAGTCTGCTAAGTTTGATGACGTGGCAAGGGTGTTTTAATAATTTTGTGCACCTAAATTTTTTATTCACAAATTTGAGTGGGTAATGTGGCAAAGTAGAGCCCACCTCCATCATGGATAAAAAAAATTAATAAAAAAATACAAACATAAAATTTAAAACTTTAAAAAATTGATCGCTCTCTCTCATCTCTTCGTTTGTTGTTGTTTTGAGAGGCATGAACTTCAAAGCTAATTAATGGGTATTGGGGCTGGGGTTATGTGGGAGTGGGGTAGAAAAAACCAGATGGAGGGTTGTTGTTTTGATTTTTGGGACAAGAGGCATGAAACTTGAAAGCTAATTAATGGGTATGGGGGCTGGGGTTCTGTGGGAGTGGGCTAGAAAAAACCAGAGGGAGGGGGCGATGGGTCTCGATGGGGAAAGGGGGGAGTAGAGAAGAAATTGGGGGAGGTGTAAGAAATCAGTGGGGGGTAGGGGGCAGTAGGTTTTTGGTTTTTGCCCAGGGAGAGTGGGTTGCTGGAGGAGGGGGGGCAATGGGTTTCTGGGTTTTTCGTAATATACCTTGGCAAATCATTGATTCAATGATTGAGCAAAGTATGTTGTTCTAATCACAACTAGGACAATCCTCCGCTTCATCTTCCTCTTCAAACGCCGTGGAAACTTGCATCATTTCTTCTATACGGAAACAAAAACCTATAGCATAGCAGATCAAGGTATGACTTGTTTGTCCACAAACAAACCAAGTCACGGATCCCTTTTATTTATAAAGAGGAAGAGTCTAAAACGGCGGTTTTGAAGAAGACAAGTACTTGAATATGTGAGTAGGGTTTGCTTTTGGTGTCCTATCTAGTTTTGGTTACAAGTGTTTCTTGATCATTACGTGGACCCGTTTAGACGTTACTAGATGCTTAACTCAAACCTTATCTATATTGTTAACTATTAGGGCCCCAATTGGTAGAAGAAAAAAATTTGCAACCCCTTGGGGTTATCCTGCACTTGGAAGAAGAAGTAGAAAAAGGAATAAATATAGTGATAATTTGATTCTTTGTTGCCGTAGTAAATAAGCGATGAGAAAATAGAATTGACCAAGAAAGGAATACCTACAACATCTTATCACACATGCATTTCATGTAGCAAGATTTAATGTAGGGAGAAAAATAAGAAAAGCAGTAAACAATGGAATTTAAGGTAATTTACAGCTAAAATATTATCTTAATTAGTTATATAGGGATGTGGCCTTAGCATGATGTTATGGGCGGGCCTCGACATGCTCGTTTTTTCTAAGGGTAGAACTTGGGTCAGCCCTATATTAAGGGTTTAAAAAAAAAAAATACATATTTGTAAATGCCAAGTATTATATGAACATTATTTTAGTTCATTCTTTGAACCAAAGGAATGGTTTAACCAGCGCTAGAATTGTGTGAGGATTTAATGCATTTCCAATGATTATTTGGTCTAATACCGCCTAAAATCCCACTTTGTTAGAAGATGTTAGAAGTGGCCTACCAAATCGAAGGGTGATTTTACAAGGCCAAATAGGCCCATCCCGGCCAGACAAAAACTTAGGGCACCAAGGTAAGGCTTGGGTTATCCTTTAGCTTGACCCAACCCATTTTACTGGCCTAGTCAAATATATTGCTGTATCTCTGCATTCTTTCCCAGCGTGAGGTCTTGGTTTTTCAATATGAGATTTTCAAAGTGTCTTTGAAATATGCATCTAGCATTGTAAACACTACATCATTCAAGTCCAAGTTAGATTCTTGATTGATTTCTTCAAGAACATGATTTTTTGGAAGGGATTGATCTTTTTCATTTCAGAATCTGTACTTCTTTGTTCTGGTGCCATGGAGTGAAGGAGCTGAAGATGAAGCTGCCACTCACACATGAAGATCTAATTGCTATTTCCTATATGTATGTCTATATATAGGCCCACTCCAGAATATAAGTTTATATTGTAACCTTCCATTTTTCAGAAATATTAATACCAAGTAGATATTGTTCGGTGAATCAAAGAAAGAAAAGAATCATTGATATGTTATGTACACTCTTATTTCCTGAAGAGCTTATGAATTGATGAGCACCGTACTCAACATCTATACAACATCTATAGTTACTTCTTTTCACATACTTGCATAGGAATTACATCGAAGCCATCAATTAGCACCTCTTCCTCACACCTATGAGAGGAAACTTTTAATATCATGATTCGAGCTGTGTTTCAACTCATTTCATTTGAATATTAATATTGATATTGATGATAACAGTGGTGTTTGTGGTTTTTGGTTTGCTAGTTCACTCCAACTGGATACGAGAAAGCTTAGGAGTGCCACCTTTGATGGTTGTTGGACGGAGTTCATGCATATATATGGGCAAGATGAGCATGCAGACATGGTGTTGCAATGGATTGTTTATGGACTTTGGCAAATATGGAAAAGCCGTAATGGGGCTATCTTTGAAGGTAAGAAGGTGTGCCCAACTGAAGCTATGCAACTTTGGCAGGCACAAGTTCAGGAATTTCAGGAATCGCAACACAAGCTGTTGCCGCTAGCCTCTGAGCAGCTAGGACCACTGGACTAGGGACAAACGGTATGGCTATCTTGGCAAAAACCCAAACTTGGCTGGATTAAAATCAATTGCGATCATGCCTGGAAGCAGCAAACCTTGCGAGGTGGAGTTGGGCGAGTGGTACGATCACATTTCAGCTTTCTTCTCATGACGGGCGGTACTGAGAACATGTTATGTCCGTAAGCTCTCGTGATGGAAGTTGAAGCCATTCGTGATGCTTTGACGGCAGTAATGGATGTAGGGGTTGACAAAGTTGAGGTAGAAACTGATTGTCTACAGCTTATTAAAATGCTTCAGGGCAAAGACAAAATTGATATGACCTTGGAAGGGTTTAATTCATGATATTAGGTTTTTATGCAAGGAAGATGCTAGGCTTACCACATTTTTCATACCACATTGTGTACCACATCTCTAATAGAGGTAGAGCTCACCAAGATAATGGGGGCCACCTCTATTAGAGAGGCAGTATACAATATGGTATGAAAAATGTGATAAGCCTAGCATTACCCTTTATGCAATTCTTTTAGTTCAGTAGAGTTTTTGTTCGCGCCGCGGCATTGTAACGAAGCAGCCCATTTGGTTGCTTCCTATGTATCTCGAGCAGGGGGTGTTTGGGCACCAATTGGCTTTTTGATGCTTTAGCTAAAGATGTAAACCTTACTATTAGTTATTAATAAAATCTCTTTTATCGTTTGGCAGGAAAAAAAAAAACATGTTATATTTATATATAAATACATGGAAAACTTATTAAGAGGAATCTCAGCCAATAAGAAGTAAGGGATGCAGGGTTTGTAGTTCAAGTGGTTAAGAGCATTTATATATGCATTCGAGGTCCTAAGTTTGATTCTCCCCTCTCTCAATAACGCTTGTATAAAATAAAATAAAAACTAAGGGATCACATGTGGGCCTAAATCTTAATGTGATCATTTGTTTAATTCTGGTTCAAAAATCATCCTTACAAAATATCAATCAAATCAAAGCTATTACATCACCTAATTGTGAGAAAATAAACAAATGAACATATTAGTTTAGATTAGACACTGAAATATTAATGATGATGATCTAATGGTCAAAAGAATTCTGACTTTGTAGCTTTTTGCAAGAATAATTCTTAAATTAGGATATAATTTATATATATATATAAATGTTTAATTTTAACCATTTTTAATAATTTTACTAAATTACATTATAACTAGTACAATTTCATCACATAATTCAATGATAAAATAATTAACAAATTTTATATGTTATACTGAGGGGTTTTTTTTATATAAAAAAAAAAGAATAAAAAAGTTTGGACTCTTCCAAATTAATAAGCAAAAATATCAAATTGCCAAAAAGGAAAAAGATAAAAGAATTTGTCTCCGTGCATCGCGAGCCAAATTATTAACTAGACCCACGAGCACCATACGCTCCACGTCGTTTCCTAGCCAACCGATTAATAAGGTGACAACCAATAGGAGAGCAAGGTGTTCCATGCAAAGCGATAGATGCGGACGACGCATTTTAATATTGTAGGATGGAATATACGGGATCGGAACTCAAACAACTATCACATTAAAATACATAAATTAGAGAAAGAATCTTCTTTTGAAGCACTTAAGGTCGTCAGCCTCCAACTGTCAGCTGTTAAGCTGATATTTAGCTTCAAACGGCCGTTATTGCCTTTTCCCCTCAACGTAACGGCGTCAAACCATGTATGATGTGACCCCACCCCCATATGCCATGGGCCATGGCATCATGATTCATGTATATTCCAACATCATGGTTCATACATGTCATGCATGTATATATACATGCATACATATGCATAGGATGGGATGGGGATGGCATGGAAATGTGGGTACTCCAGCTCTTACGCAGTTTAGGGTTTCTTCTGGCAGTCCAGCTCTACATGTCGTCATTTACGTCGCTCTGAGGAAACTCTTGGGTCAAATGACAAATGCGCCCTCCTTTGATCATTTGAATTACTCATATCCCAAAACCAGTTTCTCTTTCCTAGATGATATTATACAGTATCCCAAATTTTAGGGTTATTAGTTCCATTAGTCTTCAAATTTTGACCCAATTTGTATTTTGGTCCCTTAATTTTCAAAATCGATCTCGTGGTTCTTCAACCTCAGTTTCGTTATCACAAATGGTCCTGCTGTCAATTTTGTTACAAAAATGGTATTTTTGTATTAAACCAAAAAAAAATGATATTTTTGTATTTTTTTTAAAAACCAAATAAATAAAAAATAAATAAATCTCTCTCTCAAAGAATTACAAAAACATGGAATTAGCCAAACTTGGGAGGAGCGGTACTGATAACAACAACAATAACGATGTGGAGCAATTCCTCCTTCCCCGACCACCCACAACCCAACTCAGCCAGCGCAGCCACCATCTTCCCCGACTAATCACAACCCATCCCAGCCCCTGCAAATACGCAATACACCCACCGAACTCGCCAGCCAACACCCCATCCACCATCTTCCCCGACCAACCACAAGCCACCCTAGCCCCTTCAATTATCCAACACCATAGCCCCTGCAATTATCCAAAAACCCCAACCCATATCCTCCACCATCATCTTCGAATGGACCTAAACATCATCTTCAATCAATTAATATTTAATGTCTCTCTGTTCTCCAAAAGAAAAAAAAAACGCCATGTCCATCTTGGACTGCTACTTCTTCATCTGGCATTCAAGAAAAATAGGAATGGAGCCTGCGTGTTGGAGATGGATGGGTCGGGTGGGGCCTTGATTGTTTCTCGCTCTCTCACTCTGTGTCTCAGATATGGTGGAGAGAGAGAGAGAGAGAGAGAG